CCTGGGACACACACTCTCAATGGCAGCTGGGCTCACTCTAAAGCCATAAAGTACATGAGCACTGCCATGGCCTCCAGGGAGTATATGCCAAGCTGGTGGCACCCATGTAGTGGCAGTCAAGATGGTGGTGGCCCATGTGGTGGCAGCCACGATAGTGCCTATAATGTGATGACCCCCGGTATAGGACACAGCTAGCTACTGGCTCCCCTGAGCACAATTACCCACTTTTCTGTGCTGCTGGTACCTCACCTACATAACCCCATTCTCCCCTCGACCCGCTCCACATTGCTCCTTGACTTTGCTTCACACTTCTGCACTACCACTTTTTCACTATGATTTGTCTACTTCCAGTTCACCATATCCTCTAACTCTCATATCCTTTCTGTCACTTGACTGTCTGTAGACACTGACTATAGAAAACCCCAGTAAGGTATGCATTTACCCCAGGTAGCAAGGCCTCCACTGAGTATGAGGGGGAAAAGCCCTCCTATTTATGCCTTTAATTTAGATGGCAATCTGAAAGAAAAACCAGAGCCATTAGTGTAGGCGAGCCTCTTCTCTGAACCTAGTAGCTTCAGTCTTTCCAGAGCTCTTAGGAGAGAGAGCTTATTCTACCAAGGTAAAAGAAACAACTTCAGAGGTGCCCATAGCAGGAACTTGCATCCCAGGATGGCAGGACAGAATGTGGGTGGAAACACCAAGTTATTGATTCAAACTGTTACTAGTGGTTGGGAGTCTGGGCCAAGTGTTCCCAGGTTTTTGGTATCTTATCCAAAGAATTGAAAATAAGTGCTCACACAGGTTTGCAAAAAGAGCAAGATAGCTTTATTTGGAACAAAGTGACAGTGTAGGTTATAGTGTGTGTGTTGGGGGGGTGGTAATACTGTCGAGATTGACAGTTGTCCTCATGAGTTAGAGTACTCAAGTTCCCTGACTGCTGTCTGGGGCTTCCTTTTATGAGGTTCAAAAGAAAGATGAACAGTTACTAAGGGAAGTAGCTTGAGTGGTTCTCTATTTCGATTGGTAGATTATGTCACATTGCCTTTTCTCTGGTCATATATTCATGTTGCCTACTGTGGATGTCCTTTCCCATAAGGGATCTGATTTTAATCATATGCATGTCCAATTATGCATATACATTAGAGGGTAAATAGCGGATTCTCTCTAAAAGATTACTAGAGGGCACAGTTCTGCTTTATTGTGCATACATGCAAAACATCAGGCCAGAGTGGCCCTTCCAGTCCTCAAACTTGGGAATACACTTGAATAGAAACTTGTCTAAATCGGAACATTGATAATGGAGAAATATACCATTATAAGATAGGAGCCTGACGCAGGTGGGGAACCGAGGAGGTTATGAGGGTGCTAGGCACACTATTTAGAGAGGGGTATGTGCATAGTAAGTGCACATGAAGGAACTAGGCTGCCAAGTGCATTACTACAGGCGGGGGTAGCTGTACATAACCCAAAGCCAAATGGGGGTCTTGTGGTGAGGGCCTTCCAGAACAGAGAAAAGGCAATGTGACATAATCAATGTCTATGTATGCATATATGACCCTGTCACAACCCTGTAGCATAGAACACCCAATCAGAATGTATGTTGCCAAATAAGGAAGACAAAGTCTCTAAACTGGTATATAAGGCAATGATCTCCTGCAGGTACAAACATAAATAAACGCTGCTTCCTGGTGAAAGCCTAGGTCCTGTCTCTCTGTATGAATACCCACAGTAGCCCCAGGGTATGAAACTGTCTCCTATGCCTGTCCGCTTCAAAACCCCAGATGAGTTAGCCCAGAAGGGTTGCTGCTCAAACTAGTATTTCTAACCCTCCTACAGAATCAGTTAGAACACCTGGAGTCATGACGGGAATGCCATAAGATCTTCTTGAGGACTCTGAGTAGGTGAGGAGGACATCCCTTCATTCCAGAGATCATTCCTGTTTTTTAGTCCCTTAGGGAATTCAGCTGGACTCCCTGCTCTGGTAATACCCTCAAGGATTGGAGTAAGTGTGACCCTAAAGAAAGACTAACTAATCGAGGCCTTTAGAAAACTAAGGTTACCACAGCTGGCTCCTGTCTGCTGTTTACCTCTTAAAACTCAAAATTATATCTCTTTAAATCTTCACAGCAAGCTTTACCTTTTGATCTTTTGCTTTCACTGGCCTTTCTTACATCTTAAAGACAGGGATATGTAAACTTTGTTCTTCCAGGTGTATATATACTCTGATCTCAAGTGACTGTGTTCTGTGCGTTCATGATCATTATTTTCAGGTCACTGTGTCATTTTGTGTCTATGGCAGCAGGGAACAAACTTCAGTCTCCTCCTGGCATCACTGAAATAATTAACCTGTGGCTGCTCCATTGTCACATTTCATTAGTTTCTGTTTGTTAAAATGACTATTCTTGGAATGCCTAATACATGATGTATGTGTGTCTGAGTCTATGAGTGTGGTTTTGTTTGTGCCTGTGTGTGTATGTATGTATGTATGTATGTATGTATGTATGTGTCTGAGTGTGTGTATGTGTCTGAATGTACATGTATGTAACAAGAAGTGCCACTTTCAAATCAGGCACCAGGAACAAGGTGGAAGATCACAGTTTTAAATCCTGCTGGCAGGGACTCAAGGAAGTCCTCCCCAAAGCCTGAGCACCAGGCAGCACTTTTTACAGTATTTATAGACAATCCAACATCATTCCAGACCCACAGTGGATTAGTGGGCTTGAATTCCTGCCCTATGTGACTGTGGACTAGGCACAAGGGTTTCTAGTCTATGTGACCTGGGTCACCCACGGGGTTCTAGCTCCTACAGGTCAGAGGGGCCATGAGCTTGAATTCCAAGCAGAAGCAAAGATTAGACAACTGGCTATTTTCTTAGGTAAGGAGGGAAGTCTCTTTTCTCAGATAAGCAGGGGCTAGTTTCTTAGGCAGCCTGCTCTGAGCTTTTCTCAATTAATTTTAGTTTTATTCCTCAAGCATATGTGTCTTCAAGAATTTGCCTGTATGAGTGTATGTGTCTGTGTATGAGACAGTGAGTGTGTTTGTATGTGTATGTTTGTGTGTTTATATATGTGGTGTGTGTGCGCATGTGTAAGCGTATGAAAATTTTGAACTATGTTAATATATAGCAGCTCTGGCCTCTGTTCTTTCCTTTAAAAAGTGATTAGCTAAAATTCAGGAACTTACTAACTGTAAAGTATGGAACTGAAAACAAACTAGTGATGCAGGATTCCCCCTCAATCAGGCTTAACTAAAATGTTAACTCACATACTAACTAAAATGTTAACTAGCTAAAATGCTAAGTAACTCAAGTATAACTAACTCAACTGCTAATTAACTAAAATGTTAAAATTAAGCTTCCTTCCTGATGATTTGGAGCTGATGCTTTTTAACGTTAATTCTGAAAACTGAAGCTAGGCAGATGATCACTGCAGGATTTATAAGGGCTAAAATGATTTACAATGAATATTTAAACGAAAAAGTGGGGCTGGAGAGTTGGCTCAGTGGTTAAGAGCACTGGCTGCTCTTGCACAGGAGCTGGGTTTGATTCTTAGCACCCACATGGCAGCTAAGAACCATCTTAACTCCAGTTCCAGGGTATCCAATGCCCTCTTCTGACTTATGTGGGCATTGCATGACATAGATGCACTTACATACATGTAGACAATACACTCATACACATAAAATAAAAAATAATAAAATACGTAAAAGTACAACATGATGTTAATTTGTCATACATACATTTTAGATTTAACGGTGTCTTAAAAGACCTGATAAATGTATACCACCTTATAAACAGATATTCTTAACTTTTTGAAACCTATCAAAATGGTATTTTGAGGATCTGTTAAATACATTTCATAAAACCTTGAAATGCTCTAAATACAATTTTTTCATGTAGTAGTTACTCTGAACAGAAAACAGGGCCCCAAAGTCAGGAAGCAGTTTCATCAATGACCTGCTCAGTCCCACAGAGATAGTTCTCTAAAGCAAGACCCTGCACAAAGACTCAGCCTTTTTTGCCTTTTGCTTTTCCATCCCCTATAGATAACAGTATGCATTCTGATTGGAACTTTAAAACGCTGTAAATAGATGTGAGAATGGCTAGAATGCTTGACTGGAGAGGAGCAGAAACGCACCTGCATACGGACATCATCCTTATCCCCTGCTGTCAGTGTAAAACAGTGTTCTTTGAAGGCACAAAAGTTTTATAAAGCCACAAAATTTTATATTGGCACGTCAATTTTGATAATTCTCCAAAATTCTGGTTTTCTCTTTAGATCCCTTGACCAACCCAATGGCCATTTCATTTTAGCTTTAGACTCCAAACTGTAATGATTTTTAAACTTTACCTGTGCAGATTATAGGCTTGTGGCCCCATGACGGACTTTGTGATATTCAAAATCTCTCCACAGAAGTGGGGAGATTGCCTGTGAGAGTCTGGTGGGACTCTAAAATATAGAGTCAGTAAAGATGCTTTCAGAGCTTTCAGTCTATGGTAGATTGGCTTTCTATCTTTTAGGGTATATGGTGGGGCAGTATATCATGATGGCAGCATCCGGGTGATGGGAGGGGCTACATTTCAACATCCAGGAGGTGAGAGAGGAAGAGACTGGGGCCCCAGTATAAGGCCACAGTCCCAGTCACCTTACTCCCACGAGGGATCCACCTTCTAAAGCTTCCAACCCCTTCCTATTTACTGGGAGTGTCTGGGTCCTACTGCTCACTCCTGTAGCTTTAATTTACATCTATTAGTCATCAGTGTTTAAGTTGGACTGCTGATTTAATCATTTCTTCCATACCATTAAGCAATCTTTAATCTAAAATCTGTACTTTCAAAGACATGACTCTTAGCAGAAGCAAAGTAGCAACCTTAGATCTCTGAGACCAACCTGATCATTGCCAAGGCTCTAAGCAGGCTGAGTAGAAAACAACTTGGTTGTAAAATGATACTTTTCCCCCTTTATTTTTAAGTAGAACAAGATAAGAACTTCGGAAAAATCTGATTTTTGTTTGTTTTTTATTGATGTTGTTTTTGAAGAGAGCATAGACAGGCAGTAGTTCTCATAGTTTGATGTCACAATTGCAAATTAAAAAATCGTCCTAAAAATGTAACACAGTAGTTATTTATCTTTTAGACTTAATAACATACCCCCTTTTAAAATTGCATATATAGCTAGGCAATGGTAGGGCACACCTTTAATCTTAGCACTCAGGATCAGACAGAGGCAGATGATTTCTGTGAGTTCCAGGCCAGTCTGGTCTATATAGTGAGAACTGGGCATCTCGGGGGTCTTGGTGAAGGAAACATCAGGACTCATTTCTTTAGAATACAGTCTTTGGATGGCGTGGCTTCACCTTCCTCCAGCCCCTTTGTCACTATCTTACTAAGCCTGTGCCACATACTCTCCAAAGTGGCTGAGGGTCAGGTTCCCAGGCTCAGTGGTCAGTGTGAATCCAAAGGCATCCATGACCATGAGATGAACAGAAAACACAAAGGAAACAAAAGAGAGACTATGTTAATGTCACCTGGAGGAGAGAACGCCTGAAGAAAGCTCTGAGGAGACATCAAGCATCAGGAACTCCTCAAATAACAGGCACTTAGAGCTTTGACTAGAAAGCATTGGCCCCTGCCAGAGCCCATAAGGTAACCAAAGGCAGGGTGAAAGCCTGGCATCTCCATCTTCATTCTGCATCTGTCCCTCTTTGTTTGAGCTACAGACCTCTGTGTGCATGCATGCAAATCACTCAGAGTGTCTATCTAGAGACTAGAGATCTCTGTTATGGTTAATCTTGTCAAGTTGAAGAGGTGTAGAGTCTCCATGGAGACAAATCTCTGTGAGGGAGCATCTGTTAGGTTCATTGAGGTGGGGAAAACCACCCTAACTGTGCACTGAATGAAAAGGAGAAAGCCATCCAGCACTAGCACTCATCTCCACTTCCTGGCTAGGAATGCAAGTGACCAACTTCCTCCTGCCTCCTTCCTTCCTCAGCTTCTTCCCTGCCATGATAGACTATCTCCTAGAACTGGAAGACAGAAAAAACCCTTCCTTAAGTTGCTTCTGGTGGATGTTTTGTTGAAACAAGACAAACAACTAATAATACACTAGCATATCTTGTTCCCCTTCAAGGCAAAAGCCTGAAGATGAGAGTACTTGGGGCACCTTCTTGTCAGCTGTTTACAGCATCCTGTTCCAGTTCCACTAAAGGTCTCCAACCATTGACCAGGACTGCTTAATTAAGTATGCCTCACGCCCCCTGCCCCAATTCTTCCTCTTCCTAAACCTAAAGCTCATGTCAGTACTCCAAAAATGAAGCGAGGATCTCTGGACCTTGTTACCTGTTCCTCTTTGCAACAAACACTGATTAAATCTCTTCTTGGCTTTTCACCATTACTCTTCTCTTTGGTGTGTTGGGATGGTTGCCAAGTGTAGCCTGTTGACTGTCAGAGCCTCTGGTTACAATCAGAATGGGAAGCTGACACACAATAAATTATGAACCAACATCTCTCTCTCTCACACACACACACATGCATACAGAATAATGATGATGATGACAGTAATGATGATGACAATAATAACAATAATAAAAACAATAAGAAGAAGGGTGAGGAGGAGGAGGTGGTATTGTGGCATGTACCTATAATTTTATCACTTGGCAGTCTGAGGCAGCAGGATCCCAAGTGCTAGGTCAGCCTGGGCTATAGAATAAGACAAAAAAGTAAAAAGAGGAGGAATGATCCCTTGGTGGATCCTGAAGACAATACTCAGAAGGAGTTGGCATACCCCATGTCTGCATTCACCCACAGCTGGACACAGGCCTTAAGAACAGCTGATGTTTTCCCTGTCAGTTTTGATTCCACTTGCCTCTGCCAGAGTTACAGCATTCCTTCACATTCCCTTGGGCTCATGCTAAAGGAAGGACTGTACAGCCTCTAGCACTGGCACAGTGGGAAACATTTTACTTCTTTTAGGCAGACTCTCATCTCACTGTGTAGCCCTGGCTGGCCTGAAGCTCTGTGTAGACCAGGCTGATCTAAAATTCACGAAGACCTGACTACCTCAGCCTCCCAAGCACTGGAATTAAATGCACACCCTGCATTTTACCTGTGTCCATGTCTGTATACCAAAACACGAAATTTCACAGACACATGAATTAGTGGCAAACAAAGCAAGATAATTTATTAGGGGAGCTGGAGAGATGGCTCAGCAGTCAGGAACTTACTGCTCTTCCAGAGGACCTAAGTTTGGGCAGCTTGCAACTACCTGTAACTCCAGGAGATCTGATGCCCCCTTCTGGCCTTCATGGGCACCCACACTCAGTGGCACACACAGACACATACAGACACACACATGTGAAAAAAATGTAAAATATTAAGAAAAAATAAGAACTTATTAAAAAGGGGGCCAATGAGATGGCTCAGCAGTGGCAAAAGCACTTTTTGCCCAAACTTGATGACCTGAGTTCAGTCCTTGGAACCCACAGTGAAAGGACTCACAGAAGTTGTCCTCTGACTCCACATACATGCTCTAGCACACATGTATGCACACACACAGAGGCATGCACGCATGCACACATACAATAATAAAGGATACCTTTCAAAGGTGGAAACTGAACAGAGAAGATAGAACATTCATTATGTCAGCTGGCACTGGTTACAAAGGAACAGGGCTTTATATCACATGGCCTGGGATTGGGGGCTCATTTTCATATGGGCATGTTCTCATACATTATTACATGTGATTCTAAATACAACTTATGCATGGCATGCTTCATTAACATCTTCAATCTCTACCCAGGAGAGTTATCTTCAGACACTCTGGAGTGCCTCCACACCTGTACCAGTGCTGCACTTAGTGCTGGTGGAGAAGTTCCAGCCTTCCTCTGTCAATTTGGTCTTTGCGTATGTGAATTTGCACAAGGCTCTCCAAACCATTCTCTTTCTTACTCTTCTGCCAAAAAGACTTTCAAATAGAAAAGCAATCCTCAAAAGAAAAAGTTGATTGCAATTTGAGAAAATTTTCACTAGATATTTGATATGATGGGATGATCAGCATTTATTGAGTACCTACCTGTGTAGGACTGTACAAAGCTCTTGACAGTTCAGACTTCACTTAATCTCCAAACAGCTCTATAAAAGTAAAAACATTAGAGCTGGGGAGGCAGCTCACTGGTGGAGGATTTGCTTAGAGGCACAAGGTTCCAGGTTCCATCTTCCAATACTGCAAAGAAAAAAAACCAATGAATAAATAAATAAACTCTGTAAAGGGCTAGGCTAAGTCTGTGATCTCAGAGCCAGTGAGTGCTGGGGAGCCTGCACTTAAATCTACAACTGTGGACAATGAAACCCATGCTGTTAACTGCCATTGATCTCCTTCATTTGTGAATGGGCTTGTGTTCCACAAGTTCATCTTAATCTGTTAACCTGGAACACAGGTTGAACTTTTTCCAAGAGCTTTTTTTTTTCTACAACTTGGTAAAGACCCCATTAACTGCTAGCTATAGCCACAACCATTTTGTAAAGCTCCTCCATTTGACCTACAGCAGTTCTTGAAACTAAAATAATTTGGTTCTCAGAATTAGAACAATTTATTTCTCTAGATTCCTGCCCTTTTCACCCTATTGACACCCAGAAATTAATTTTTAAAACTACATAGAAAAATTTAAAAGAAAGAAAGAAGGAAGGGAAGAAAAAGTGGAACAGACTGGGCCAGGCACATCCCTTGGTGGTAGAGCTGTTGCCTTGCCTGGTATGTGCAAGGTTCCAGGTTTGATCACCTGCACTGCAAAACAAAAACAAACAAGCAAAAACAGGCTTCTCCCCTCTGTTCAATCTTTGGGTGACTTTTAAGGACTCTATGAGTCAGATGAGTAATACTAGGTCCTACTGTGATGCTTACACGTGTCTCATCACACCTTGCTCATATTCACCCATTGCCCTCCTTCACCTCCCTCCACCTCCTGCTGGTTCCCTTTCTCACCCCAAATACCTAACAGGAAATTATGACTTTCTTAAGAATAAGTACATACTACTAAAAACATTGAGTCATGTGCACTTAATATCAATTTCTAATTAAGTTCAATGCTATTTTAGCTTATCATAATTAGGTACATACCATAGATTTAGTGGCTCAGTAAGGAGATAATTAACAGAACTTCCAAGAACAGAATGCATTGTTTACTCTGGTACTGTAAAATATTTCAGGATAAACATCAATATGCTAAGGTAAAAAAAAATTTTAATAGGGGAATATTCACAAATTTGCATGTCTTCTTTGCACAGGACCCATGCCAATCCTCTCTGTATCATTCCAATTTTAGTATATGTGTTGGCAAAGCAAGCATTTGTCTCGGTTTAGGTTTTTTTGAAACAGGATCTCATTAGGTAGCCCAGGCTAGCTTCAAACTTGCAATATTCCTGCTTCAGCTTCTTGAGTACTGGAACTACAGACATGCAACTTCATGACCCATTAAGAAGTATTTTAGAAAACTATTTTTACTTTTTTAAATAAAAATACACGATAGGCGTGGTGGTACACACCTTCAGGAGGCAGAGGCAGGAGGATCTCTGTGAGTTCAAGGCCAGCCTGGTCTACATAGTGAGTTCTAGGCCATCTGGGGTGACAGGGAGACTGTCTCAAAAAGACCAAAAAATAACAAAATACACAAAGTAATGAGTTTCATTATGACTACATCTTCATAATGTTTGTTCCTATTCAACCCTTTCTTGGACCCCAAGTCTTCCCCCTGCCCCTAGGTAGTGCTCTTTCTACTTTCATCTCAAACATATGTGTGTACATTTGAAAAAAAAAACCTAGATTCCACATATGAGAGAAAGCATGTGATGGGCCTTTCTGATTCTGGTGCATTTTGCTTAATATGATGATCTCAAGTTCCATCCATTTTCCTGCAAATGGCATAATTTCACTGTTCGTGGCAAATACAATTCATTACATATGTATATGCAGCACATATTCTTTATCCATTCATCTGTTGATGGACACCTAGTCTGATTCGGTATCTTGACTCTTGTGAATAGTGCAGCAGTGAACATGGATGTGCAGATAGCTCTGTCATGTGCAAATTAGATTCCTTCATGTATACAGCCAGCAGTAACATGGCTGCATCACATGTAGTTCTGTTTTCAGTTTTTCAAGGAACTATCAAACAGATTCCATAGTGGCTGCACTATCAGCATCCCTATCAACACTGTTTACAGTGTTGTAGTCCCTGCAAACCACACCCCTATCTTGGCCAGCACTTGTTATTTTGATTTTTTCTGACAGGGATGAGACAGAATCTCAATGTCGTTTGGATTTAGATTTCCCTGATTGCTAAGTATGTTGAACAATTTTTCATACATTTGTTTTAAGTTTCTTTCTTGTTTTTAAAATTATTTTTTCTTACAGTGTGTGTGTGTGTGTGTGTGTGTGTGTGTGTGTGCATGCGCAGGTGGAGGTCAGACAACAGCTTGTAGGAATCGGTTCTCTCCTTCCACCAAGTGGGTCCCAGGGATTGAAAGGTTGTTAGGCTTGGTGGCTTTACCCCCTAATCCATTTGGGCAGCTATTTTTTGTTTTATAAAGAGACTTATTTTTATTTATGTGCATGTATGTGTGTCTGTGTGTATGGGTACCTGTGTATGAGTGTCTACAGAGGCCATGAGTGTCAGATCCGGGTGTTGGGAACAGAACTTGGGTTTTCTGCAAATGCAACAAATACTCTTAAGGGCTGAGTGATCTGTCCAGGTCCTTACTGGCCATTTACATTTCTTCTTGTTTTGTGTTTTTCCTTAACTTGGTAACACACACCAGTGATCCCAGCCCTCGGGAAGGTGGTACTGCATAAAGAAAGCAAGACCTTATTGATCCCCCCAAAAGGATGCTTATCTTGATAGATGAGAAATGGCCACCACTGAGTACTCTTGAATGTGTATTGGTTCAGAGGGGCATTCCTAAACAAATGTGAACTAGAGTCAGATATGAAGGCTGAGGCCAGCAAGCCTAGGCTGCAAAGCCAAGCCTTATCTCAAAAACAGCAAGGGGCAAGGGGAAGAAAGGAAAGGACTATGATGTAGGGCTGAGTCCTTGCCTTGTGAAATTGAAGGTCTTGCTGCTGATCCTCAACAAAGCTGACTTTCATATTTTTCCCTGTCCCTATAGTTTCGTTCTATCTATGGCAGACCGTCATGTCACCTATCCATCAGCCTGGTTCAGGATTTCACTACTGTGTGAAAACAGCCATGTTATTCTTGTTGACACATCCCCCTCAGAATCAAAGTCATTCGTTCATATGTCAATTTTGGCAACAGCTCAGCATTCTGCAGCTTCAGAACATTTCCACACTATCCCTGGGTGCCAGAGTTAGAACTCACATGTTCATAAAGAAACACATTCTCTGACCCCTTTTTATATTTCTCATTCTTTGCTAAATAGAAACCCAGAATTCTTTTGTAGCTTACAGTTTGGATTGGTAATTCCCATTTACTGTGTAGCGCTTGAGTAGAAACAGGCTTCCCTCTCCACCCCAAATTCTGTCCTACTTAGGGGAGGGCAGTTGAAACCCACAGCTTTATCCAATTGTCTTCCTCCCTTTAAAGAAATTACCTCTCTGTGGGGTCTGGCCAGCAGTGATAACCAGCAAAGTAAAAATCAATGAACTTCAAGTGAGAGTTCCTTAAAGAATCTGGTCTTCCTCATACATAGGGCAATGTGTATTACTTTTAAGAATTATCCATGTGGTTCCTTTGCCCATTTATCGACTGAATAATTTTTGTTGTTGTGCCCGTGTGTTTCTTCGTACTCGTGTTGAGAGGGTACGCATGTGCAAGTCAGAGGACAACCTCTGGTGTTGGTCCTTACCTCCTACCTTGACACAGGGTCTGTTTTCCCTGAAGACTCCAGGCTAGGTGGCCCACAAGCTTCCAGGGCTGTCCCGAACCTCTTCTCTTGCTACAGGATGCTACAATTACAGACAGGTGCCACCATAGCCAGCTTTGTGTGGGTTCTGAGGATCCAAAACATGCTTATGCTTACGCCTTTGCCCACTGAGACATTTCCCCAGCCCTGCTTTTATGTTTAATATTTTGAGTTCTCTTTAGATTCTAGATCTTGATCCTGTTGGGTGAACATCTGGCAAAGGTTTTCTCTCTGCTAGCTGTGTCTTCACTCTACTCACTGTTTCCTTTGCTGGGCAGCAGCTTTTCAATTTCACATAATACTATTTGTCACATCTGTGTGGGCTGAAGTTCCAAGAAAAATAGCCACACTCAGGTTAAAGATTCCACAAGACTGATGGACTGATTAGAAGCAGTGACTGTGAAGAGATTGGAGTGCTGCAGATCCTGGGCCCAATTATTTTGGGCGGTCTTTTGTACCTTTAATAACTATTCACTGCCCACATCTTTGTGGCTACTGGGTAAAACCTTCTGTATTAACCAGCCTCCAGTTTCAACCAACCCAGAAGCTAATAATGTTGCCAGATAGCACCTGATAGCAGATTCCCCACTTGCTGTAACCCACCTAAGATATTTGACAAAGGCTGGTATTTCCACCAATGTATTTGACAAAAGCTTTATGACTTTCTTTTGTTCTGTAAGATGAAAACTTCAAGAAATCACTTCTCTATTGGAACATGCTTTGTGGGGGGGGCACTCTAAACCTGTGTTCCCAGGCTGTGGTCACCATTTCTGGTTCAGGAATAAATTCTCTTACTCCCTTTGCGGTGAGAACTGTGCTTTATGTTGGAGTGCTTTTCCCCCCTCAAAAGCCCTGACCTGTATCTTGAAATGTTTTCCTCTAATTCTAGGTATCACATTAAGGTTTTTTATTCATTTGACTTGATACAGAGGGAAAGGTACAAGAAATCTATCTTCTTTCTTCTATATTTGGACATGCTGTGTACCAGCACTGTTTATTGAAAAGATTCTTTGGCACATTTTTTGACATGCTGTTGAAATGCAAGTGCTGTAGCTGTGTTCAGATAATGAACAAAACTCCTGAGCTGGGGAGATGAAGTACTAAGTTCTTGCTGTGCAAAAATGAAGACCCGAGGCTCTGATCCCCAGGACCCACAAGAAGCTGGGTATAGTAGTGTATGGCATCTGTAACCCCAGCACTGGTGGAATGGAGACAGATGGACTCTGGGGGCTTGCTGGCCAGACTATCTGAAACAGTGAGCTTCAAGTTCAGTATGAGACCCTGTCTCAAAAAGTAAGGTGGAGAGTCAATAGTAGGGGAAGACACCTAAGGCTGAGTTCTGGCTTCCATATGCTGGTGAGAACATACGGTGCACCAGAACAGGCACACCCAATACACATACACCACATACATAATATCTTTATTTAACAGAACCCTCCTCCCTCCTTTTTGTACTTTTTTTGGGGGGGGTCTTTTTGAGACAGGGTCTCCCTGTAGCCCCAGCTGTCCTGGAACTATGTAGACCAGGCTGGCCTTGAACTCACAGAGATCCGCCTGCCTCTGCCTCCTGAGTGCTGGGATCAAAGGCATGTGCCACCACGCCCAGCCTTTTTGTACTTTTAAAATTTTTTTATATTATTTTATGTGTATGAGTGTATTGCCTGCATGTATGTGAGTGCACCCGTGTCATGCAATGCCTCGGAGGCCAGAAGAGGGCTTCGGATTCTCCTCCACTTGGAGTTAAGGCCAGTTCACAGCCACCATGTGGGTGCAGGGAATCAAACCCAGGTCCTCTGCAAGAGCAGTCAGTTCTCTTAACTGCTGAACCATCTCTCCAGTCCCCCTTTTCATACTTAAAAAAATTTATTAGCATTACTTTAAGAAAATAACATCTATATTGAAAAGCTTTGTATAGGTTAGAGAATTTCAAAGGGAGTGGATGCCAAACTCAACAGCAACTGTGATAAATTTCACAGTATTGTCGAATCTTGGTAGTATAGTTTATCAGTAAAAATACTCGTTATACTAGACATACAGAATTACAAATTGACATCCTTAAATACAATTACACATTTTTAGTTGAGTTGTATCACTTTTGCTATTACATTTTTTTTAACTTCCCATACTGATTTTTATCTCTCGAAGTCCATTAGATGATATATTTTCTATAGAGCACAGGTGAAGGCACCCTGGGGCTGTAGAAGAGTAATAGAAAGATGCTGGAAAACCTCTTGGTGCCTGGGAATGGGAGAGGACCAACATCAAGGCCTGGATATGTTGAGTCAACACCATAGCTGACCATGAAGGGAGGTGGGAGGTCCATTCTAGAGAATCAGACCTCCCAAGACAAGAATCTGCAAATGACAGAAACCTCCCCTTTCCCAAGCATAAGTCCAACACAGAGGCCATGTGCAACCTGGGACCTC